TAGCTGCTCCACTCCGATGTGGACACACAGCGTGTTTGTCCCCTGGTAAGCCTGGCGCAGACCCTTACAGACTGACTCGGGTGCATCGGACTCAAATCCCGTGCAGTTATCCCAGGAACAGTCCAGGGTACGACTAAACCAGCGCAAGTCGCGCTCGCGCCGCCCGTCTGCTTCCACCCAAGAGCGGACATTTGTGGAAGCCGAACAGGCCGCTGTCTTCTCTTGCCAGCTCGGGGTGGGAGGCTGTAACAGTGTCACTGGGAGTCACAGAGAGCGAGCTGTGTGCCGGCTCCAACCCCAGTGTAATCTGTACTGGTGTACGCAACGGATGGACCAGTGCACGCCATCTGGTCCCCTCCCCAGCATGTGCTGGTTGCCTCCGGGGGTCAACATCGTCATCCTTGAAACCAGGGGCCAAGTACTGGCTCTGGACCACACCTGGATTATCTTTAGTCTCCAGCCATCAGCCTAATGCATCCTACTGCACAGGAACACCTCTTCTGCCCATGGGCTTTTATTTATACGGATGAAACCCGCTCTAGTCGTACAGCCTGACAGCTAGCAATGCTCACTTTAGCTCTGCTCTTCCTGACCTCAAAGGCACAGCTTTCCATGCTGGTCAGGCCTTTTGTAAGCTTGGCTTATTCCTACTATCCATTTTCTGTTGGGGTGGGGGTTCATCCCGTTAGTGCTATGTCCTATTAGTTTTTTCCCCCTTTGCCTTGGGTAGAGATTCCTGAAAGACTCAGCCCCTGACACCGAGAAAGTCCTGGCCATCTTGCTCCTCACATGCGTGGCCCCTTGCTCCCCAGTCCAGCCCGCTTTGTGAATTGGCTCCCTTAGCTCGTCCACATTTGCACCTTCTGCAATCACCCTGTTCCACTTAAACGAAATCAATTTGCGATTGCTCGATCCAAGGTTATTTTCTACACCCGGCGCTTAATACAATCACAGAGCTGAGAAGGATCTTAAAGGCCACCTGGGCCAGCGGATGTCAAGCTTTAATTTAGTCTCCCGGTTGTTGCCAGCTCTTTGCTTTCACTCTTTTTTTTTTTTTGCTATGGAAAAAAATAGCAGGGCAATTCTTCATTTCCAAGGACCTCAGAAAGGGCAGAGTCGGGCAGTATGGGTTTTGTCACTATGGATGCCTCTTTGAACGGTCTGGGCTGATCTTGTGAATCACGTACAGGTGCTTGCACACCTAACAGTGCTGATATTATGCGGCACCCTTAAAAGGCTCTCCCAGCACCCTGGTTGGGACTCTCCGATGAAATGCACAGCTGGAGGAGGCACGATTTCTGAACCATCACAGACAACGGCCTATCCAGGCCCTGCTTGAAAACCTCCTAAGACGCAGACTGCTTCTCTCTAGGGAGCTTGCTACGTCCCAAAGCCAGATCCAAAGTAGCATCAGGTTGTGTTGGTTCAGAGACCCCTTCAGCCAGAAGCCAGCTCGCCGTCACATCTGGAAACGTCCAAACCCTCCTGTTATTCCACAGGCTTTGCGCACACGCGACGGCCCCGAGACAAGAGACAGGAGGTGACAGACACGGCCAGGGAAGCACAAGGCGACTGAGCAAGAGTGGTCCCCAGAACAGGGAGGGGTCTGAGGCATTTCAGCATCTCACTTCATCCCAATTTACCCACTGAGACCCAATCTAACAGGAGATTGCTACTGATCCTTTGGCCTTTATTAGCACTACTGTAGCCCATGGAGGGGAGCAGGCCATGATGGACTGCAGTATGATTAACTGGCTAAGGGAAAAGCAGCTTTCAAATCTGTTTTTTCACCCAGGTTCAAGCAGAACCTAAACAGGGTCCTGGTAAATGGTATCATTGCAGAGAAACCCCACGCTGAGCACCGCAGCAATGGGGAAACCAACCCTCCCTGGGAAATGCCTATGGAGAAAAGCTCTCCAACAGCTGTGGAGCCCAGGCCTTGCAGTACAGATGAGGAAGAGACACATCCCCAGGAGATGGGCAAAGGCATCCCATCTCCTTGCATGCTTCTTGGGTGCTGGGGAATGCCAGTTCAGACAGGTTCAACTCTCAGCTTGGGGAGCGGGTTTTCAGAAGCTGCATCTTGACCATATGCCATCAGCTTTCCTGCTTGAAGGTCATATCAAAGTGGCACCATCGACTTGAAAGAGAGCTATTTTCAGCAAATAGAGTATTTATTGGCGTACCATACCCATACCCCTCCCACTAGCTGTCAAAGCTGGGGGGCCTGTCTTAAGTCACAAAGCTGATTTCTGCACTGGAAGGAGGGCACGGGGGTGCTGGGATGGGAGCCGGGGCCTGGCTCCCTCCCAGCTGCATGGAGGAGAGGTGGAGACAACGGCTTAGCCAAAAGTTAGAGGTTTAACCCTGTCACGGCCACTGCTGAATTGACAGCAGCTTTTGGCTCTGGGCAAGTCAATTCAGCAGCAACTGCGATGGGGTTAAACTTCTAGGTTTTGGCTGAGTAGGAAGGGGAGGGCGGGACGTTGATGGGCAGACTGTGCCCTTGCTCCACGTGGCCAGGATTCAGCCAGGCCTCTGGGAAAATCTTGTTGTGCTCTATCCTAGCACAGCGCGTCTCTTCTTTGGAAGCAGGGGGTATGTAAGCAAACGCAGTAAGAGTTAGGATGAGCCCCCCACACCCCACCTTTCATTTGAATACCACACTGATCAGCAATGCGATGTAGGAACAGTTAGACGCAGTGTTTAAAGCCACACTGGGCTATTGCAGATCAAAGAAAGCCCCAGGTTGCTATCATCTATTTGGAAAAAACCCCCCCAGCAGCTTTCCATTTGCTTTCTGAAATGTGATGTGTGGGTTACCTCTCCCGTCTGGATCAGCAGCGACTGCTGGCTAGATGGCTGCCTCCCAGACAGCCACAGCTGCAGGAAGGCAGGCCTCCCGTACGATACACAGCCGTGGGGCTCTGTAGCTATAAAGCAGGTTATGTTGCCAAATGCAAGACCCATGCTACCTTTTAATGGGACTAATGCTCCTTAAATTGGCCGAGTCTTTGCAATACTGACGAAGACTCCAGGTACTTTGGAGCAGGTCTGAGATGCTTTGTTCGGTCACCCTGATCTAACCGAGGACAGGAGTTAAACAATCAATTGGAGAGTACGTGCTGCCCGCTCTGGAGACCCAAGGGCTCATCTGACACTCCAGTCCCCTCCTCCCAGAACCCAAAGGAAAGGCACCGAGCTTCAAAGCCACGAGCCTGGTTTTTCACGTGCGTGGCACCGGTATTTCAATAGAAGCTGGAGGCCTTTTGTTCATAAACCGAGTGCTCCTTCCCTGGAAATGCTGAGATGCCATAAATGCAGAATCCTACAAGTCCGTGTCCTTTTCCAAGCAGGGTCCCACTGTAAAATACCTGAGGGAAGGAGCATGAGCTAGTGATCATGAGCATGCATGCATGGGGAGTTTAAGGGGGGGAAGAGGGAGAGAACAGGAGTACAAGCTCCTGGATTTTCCCCCCCAGATGTGCCAACAATTGGAAGGGACCGAACAAACTACGCAGCACTCAGTTCTTGGAAAAAGCCTCCAATGGCTCTCTGGGCATTCATTTTAATCCCTCACCCACATAACTCCACCCCATTGTGTGCCCGCGTTGCCAAGAAGGCTAATGGCATCCTGGGCTGCACTGGTAGGAGTGTTGCCAGCAGATCAAGGGAAGTGATTCTTCCCCTCTGTTCTACAGTAGTGAAGGCCACATATGGAGTCCTGCGGCTAGTTTTGGGCCCCCCACTACAGAAAGGATGTGGACACATTTGAGAGAGTCCAGTGGGGGGCAATGAAAATGGTTCAGGGGCTGGGGCACACGGCATACAAGGAGAAGCTGAGAGAACTGAGCTTTATTAGTCTGGAGAAGAGAAGACCGAGGGGGATTGAAGAGCAGCCTTCACCTCCCTGCAGGGGGGTGCAAAGAGGATGGAGCTGGGCTGGTCTCAGTGGGCGCAGATGACAGAAAGAGCAATGGGCTCAAACTGCAGCAAGGGAAGTTCAGGTTGGATATGAGGAAAAACTCTCACTAGGAGGGTGGTGAAGCACTGGAACAGGTTACCCAGAGAGGTGGTGGCATCTCCATCCTTGGAGGTTTTTAAGGCCCGGCTCAACAAAGCCCTGGCTGGGATGATCTCGTCATCCTGCTTTGAGCAGGCGGTTGGACTAGATGACCTCCTGAGGTCCCTTCCCCAGAGAAAAAGCAGACAAACATTGGAATTTGCACACGCTGCGTCTTTGCACTGGATTCCCAGCCCAAGATGCTGGACCCTGCAGAAATCTATAGGACAGGCCTGGGCACGAGCAAGTCCGTGAAATATCAGCCAGTCCCACAAAAAGCTAAATGTATCCCTGTGCCGTTCCCCTGCGCTCGGAGGAGCTACAGGCAGTAAGTCTGCGCCAGTGCGCACCATTTCTGCGGCACAGATTTTCCAGAGGTGACACTGAGTCAGAGCGGCAGTTTTCCAGGACGCCTTCGTAACATTTGGGGCTGGATGAGCTGCCGTTTGGCTTGAGCTCAGCTTCATTAAGCTCCAGAGAAGTGGAAAGGAAGAGGTGCTCATCCTGGAAGCGCTAAGAGAGATGAGCTTCCAGGAGATCTGGGCTGGAGGAGGTGTGAATGGTGAGTCACTGCTGGATGGGTGAAACACAGACCCCTTCAGATACTGCAGACTGAGCAGAAGGTTTGCTGCCTCTGAACTGAGAGCAGTTTGGAAGTGCGTTTTGCATATACTGGTCCTGTGTCATTCACTACTTTCAACAGTGCCCAGAGGTCTGAACACCCAGGTCACATTTTCTCATAGGGATCGTGCCAATTCTGACCTTGTGTCAACGCAAACTGGGAACAAGTCCACTGAAGTCCCCCATGCCCCTCCCTTTAAAATACAGGACTATTCCTTTGTTGGACCTGGCTGTCTTCTTCACCTTTGCTCTGAGCAAGAATTCATTAGGGAGACGCGCAGAGAAGCCAATCACAAAGCAGAGAGAAAGAGACTTTAACCATAATTTTATTAAGGCTTAAATGTCTATCAGCAGGACGGGAGCTGGTCCAGTCGTACGACATAAACAGAGTGACGCTGTGTGTAATGCAATGGCTTTTCTACACCGTTCGCATGAGCAGAATGAGATCATTGCCAGTTACTTAATGCACTAACCACGTTCCCCTCTTCGCTGCCTACTGGTCTCCAGAATGGGTGACCTATGGGCTCTTCATGTAGCTGGGAGACTGCCGGGCACGGTGGGGCAGGGGTAGGGAGAAGGGGAGAAGTTGGGTAGTTCGCGTGCTCTCAACCACAAGGACTTCCGCTAGTCCATGACGGAACGGCAGCTTGTCAAATACTTTAAATGGTTTTAAATCACAGGGAAGCTAGACACACAGTCCGAAAGGCACCTATGCTAAGCACTGAGCCGCTGGAATGGTGAGAGATGGATGGCGCATGACTGGGTGGAGGTCAGGACCATATAAATACATTTTCCTTGTTAAAGAAGCTATGGCTTAAGTATCCTTGTAATCGCTTAGCTCCTGTGTGATGCCCTAACCCCCCACTACTCTGTGAGCGTAAGAAGACCAGGTCCGCTTCGGATTACGGGCGACCATCTGGCAAGCTCTTTAAAGGACCGCATCCTTGGACTGATCGAGAGAGGCAAGTGGAAGAGCAGCGGCTCTTGATCTCTCCCTCCGAGCCATCCCGGGGGCTCTCCAGCCACAACCTTTCGATAGCCACGGAGAGGAGCTAGAAGTGGACCCTCAGCACATCGTGGGTGGCCACTGACCTTTTGCAATTCATGCACAGTATCGATAAGGACTTCTGCTTCTCGGCTAAGCACGGACGACACATGAGGTGGCCGCAGGGAAGCTGGTAGACGGGCTCTGTTTTGAAGTAAGCGGAAAATGTTTTACCGCAGGAAGCGCAGGCGTGGACTTGGCTGCTCCTGTCGTGCTCTGGAAAGCAGAGAGAAGAAAGAGCTCCGTCAACACAAGCTGGGCGAGGTTACAGCATCACCTGCAAACCCATGCCTAGCTCAAACTCTGGCACCAGATGTTCGTCACAGGGCCTGACCCCGAGAAGAATGAACACCCACCACTCCTACCATGCTCATTTTGAGCACTTGCAGCTCGCAGTAGCTCAGGCTGGTCCCTGTTTTCTTTGAACCAGTTGAATAGCTTTAAGCACCCACCTCCCGCTTCCAAGGACCATAGCATGGAAAGGGCTGGAGCACACTGAAGTTTGGCACCACCAGAATTTAACTGAAGAGCAAAAACTAGCAAGTGGCTTTTCTCTTTAGCAGGATTCAAGTCTCTGTCCCCTTTGCCCAACCAGGGACTGAACTATGGACCCCTTTCTCCAAGCTCTGCAGATGTTACCAGCTGCACTGCGCGAACATACGCACTTTGAATTCTCGTCACCTAACAGCTATGAAGGTCTGTCCAGATACCACTGCAAGAGCCATGACTTTGGAGGTGCGGTAAAACGTTACGAGCACAATGCTCCTGGGAAAAAGCAGCTCAGAGCTACGCATGCTGAAAGGAAGCTGCAAAACCAAGTGCCCTTTGAGGAGGCAAAGCTGGCTGCAGGGTATTTTTGTGACCCAGAAACAGTAACAGAAAACTCCCAAGTCCTCTGTGCTCATGACAAAGTGCACCTGCTTGAGAACCAGGACACCCACTCCGCCACAGCCTTCCCATGTGACCTTGAGTGAGTCCCTTCAGTGATGGGTACAAAGCACCGGTGACTCGAGAAGGGACAAGCTAGGGCTAACTTCAGTCTTGCCAGCAAGGGTAGCGAAGACGCAGCACGGACTTCCAGGGTGGCTGGGCAAGCCCGCGGAGGGCTGTGAGCATGCACTGCGGATGCTAGTCCATGCTGACATCTGCACTGATGTGCCTGGCGGCTCACTACTCCTGCTAGCCAGGCTGAAGCGCATGCGGATATTTTAATCCATGCTGCAAGCAGACCTGTGCCTGTCGTGCATAAATACCTTTACGGCTCTCAGTGCCCAAGATGCTCATTGGTAAAACGGGTATAAACAATAGCTTCCTGCCTTGCAAGAGGTACGGGGAGTATTAAGGACAGCGAGGTGCTCAAATGCTATAGCATGAAAGTACCTTAAGCAGATGCTATTAAGGCTCTTTGGGGGAAGCCCCTGCTGCGGAAATTCAGACGCCCATCATTTTTTAGCTCAGCAGAGGAGAAACGGCAGACCAGGCACTGCCCAGCACAGCCCGCGGTTCCTGTTCAGTTCGCACAGGGCCACAGGCTACTCTTCTACCCTCCCCTCCGTGATGCCCAAGCTCCCCTGGCCACTCCTTACCTGGGGCAGTACTTGTAGTCCACGAAGTACTGCAGCTCCCCTCGCTATGGGGCTGCTGGTGGCCCTTTATTAACCTGGCTGTGAAGGAAGGCATGGAGCTGAGGGCAGAGCTCAAGGCAGCATCCAAGCTTTGTGACAGTTTCTGTTCGTGGGAGACTGGATCTGCAAAGAGAGGCACAGGGGCTGGGAAGAGACTAAGTATGTGCTGCTTTGCCGTGGATCTTCTTCACTGAACGCCCCGGCAGAAGTGCTCCCAGCTCCCTTCCCAACAGTGTCTGAGATCCCTCAGCATAAAAGGGCCTTGAAAATCGAACGTGCTTTGTGGAGGTCATAGCATTTAGGGGTGAGAGCTCTGCTCTGCTGCTGCACTAATTCAGTGATGGACTGGACAAGGTCTTCCCCCTCCCCTCACCTCGTCTTCTCCATACGTAGACGGGGGAGAATGAGCCCTCACTTATGCAGGGCAAAATGCTTTGAGATCTGTGGAAGAGCAGCCCAAATATACTTGCTGTGTGTTACATTGCTGCAGATCAAGGGAACTGAGCGCTGAAATCTCACTCAGTTATCGCTCCAATCTGGCATGTGCCTAGGTGTTTTGGAGGATCTGGGTCTCAAAACGCCAGCCGGCATGGACAGCTCAGTAAGATCAGGGCTCACTATGCAATAGGATTCAGGCACCTCACTCCATTAGCCCCTCTTGAAAACCCCAGCCCTTCTCCCTCTGCCCTTGCACGTCCTATTCAGTTCAAGCAGGGGAAGCCAGGACCGGTCAGGTCCAATTTCTGGCCCTGGAGCACTAGCTCAGAGCTCTCACGCTCGGCCTCTCAGGCAGACGCAGATCGTTCATGCCAAAACAAAGCCCCATTGTCATTTGAGGACCATTGGCGGTCACACTACTGGTTACCACTTTCTTTCAGAAACAAGCATGCATCTGAATTTAGGGACCAAGCTAGAAAGGAGCGATTCCATCACTGGAAACGTTGGGCTCTTTTGCAGCATAGAGTGTTTTTTCACTCGACCTGCTCCTGAAGACCATAAACAAAGAAACTGGGTACTAAAAATTAAAGCAATGAAGGCCAGGTAAGTATGGAAGATATGGGACTATGCCATTCAGCACAGGGAAAGTCTTTTAACTTGTCTAGGTATAAAACAGAACGTAAATGGGGGTCTTGGTGATACAAGTAAGTAAGTGCTACTGAGATACAAGAACCTAAAGATACAAAATCTGTAGGTTTGGCGGCAATAAAAATAACTATCGACTCATCGACCAATGAGCCCTGAACTCGCAGTTCAGGCTCAAAACCTGCAGCTGTAATTCACCTTTAGCATGTTCAGGTCCCTGCCCCAGACAGACCTGGTGTGTGTCATTTGTTGCCCAAACCTTGGTGATTTGAAACGAAACCTTTACACAATGCGGAAATGAAAATTCAGCTCACCTCTGAAGACACAATCTTCTGTCCAGCAGGCATTGGTGAGCTGTGTATTCACACTGCAACGAGTTCCTGCATTTTACTGCCTCAGATTCTCTCTCTCTCTTCCCCCCCCCGCCCCACACCATGTATTCAGCTTAAATTTTTCTATTTTTCTGAGGGATTACTAAATGACTTAGTAACTATACTGAGCAACTAGCCAGTTTTTCCCCAACGTTTTTAGGCTCAAGACACCCCTCCATAATTATCCCTGATTTTAACAGCACCGCAGTTGAGAACTGCTGGCAGACTACATTTGAACAGAAAATGGTTTCACAGTGCGTTTAGGACTTTCTCCCGAGCCCATCTGTTGATATAATAAAAGGAGGGATAAATTTAAAAGGTTTTGGCAACAGCCCTGAGATCTGAAACGAGAAGAAAAAGCCGATACCACTTCAAAGGAAGTGCAGAGTTCCTTTGAGGATCCCTTTGGTTGCAAAGAGGATGGAGCTGGACTGGTTTCAGTGGGGCGGATGACAGAACAAGGAGCAACGGGCACAGGCTGCAGCAAGGGAAGTTGAGTTTGGATATTAGGAAAAACTCTCTCACTAGGACAGGGGTGAAGTACTGGAACAGGTTACCCAGAGAAGTGGGGGGATCTCCATCCTTGAAGGTTTTGAAGACCAAAGCCTTGGCTGGGATGAACTAGTTGGCCAACGTAGGCAGGGAGGCGAGGGGGAAGAAAGGGGGTTGTGCTGAACACAGATCGGGTGTGGGGGCCGGGGCAGAGTCTTATCTTCCATGGCACAGGCTCACTCGGGGGCTGCAGGCTCCCCACCTCATCCTCACTCACCCTCTGCTGCATTAACCCTCTCACAGCTGCCACCCCTTCTTACATTGCTGTGGAGCCCAGAAACATCCACTGCCTTTGGCAGCTCCCAACGTGCAAACAAACCAGTGCTGCAGGACGTCGGCAATGCTGCTGCCTCATTTGGCGCATGTTAACTTTACAGGGAACTCGCTCCAGGTCCGATCGTAAACCTACGACTGGAGATAGGATGTGGCAAGCTACCTCCTTCTACCCAGGTAAGAAAAAATAAGCCAGGCCGATATCGGTTATGGAGTGAGGATTTGCAGCGGTTCTGAACCGGGTGTTTCTCCAGGCTGCCTTGGCACGGGGAACTGCCCCACGTGCTTCTGTTCTCTGGAGGGGCCTGCCGAGCGGGTCTGGGAAGTCCTGTGGCAGAAAAGGGTGCTCCTGCCTGAGCTAGGTTCATCCCACTTCAGCTCTTCAGGAGCTTGATGGAAACAGGCATGTGGAGAGCAGCGCTCCTGAAAGGGTCTCATGGCACCCAGTTGAGAACCACTGTCAGCAGGAAAGATGTGGTGCGAGAAGTAACCCTATGCCAGTAAGAACAGGCAGAGGCAGAGCTATCTGGGGATTAATACACTTAAGACACAAATGAGGAAGAAAAATTGCCAGGAGAAAAAAAAAATACTTTAAGTCAAGGACAAAGCAAAAGTCAAGAACGCCACCACCCCTTGTGAGCCAGGTGAGGCTGAATGAAGTAAGTCCTTGTCAGAGACTTGGAGAGTAGGAGCCACCAGTCTTCAGGAAAGGAGGGTGCCTTTATCTCATGTATCACGCTCAGCCCCCAAGCCATCCCCGCTCTCCCAGCAGGGAACTCTGCTCAGAAGTCAAAGAGAGGACTTGAAAAACCACTGTACTGAGACCTGTCGGGAGTGTCACCTATGCCTAATGCACCAGTGATACCCCCGAGGAGCTACGGTCCAGGGGAGCCAGGAGACCGACTACAACACCGTGACTATATCTCGGGCAGAGAGCCTGACACCGTGGCTGCTTCCCATTGCTCTCTCTGGACACTCGCTTGGGTTTGTGCACAGAGCAAGTGAGACGGCTTCTCCATCAGAAACAACCTCTCTTCCTTAAATCGCCAGCAGCCCCTTGTGTAAAGCGCTATCCCTTAGCCTTTGCTAAAGCTTGACAGACATCCTGCGTGCTCTTTCTACTGGCTATTAGATCTGAACGTCCCTGGCAGGGGCCTCATCGATGGAATTCATGTCAGACCAACCTGATTGCCTTTTATGATCAGGTCACAAAGGCCATGGATGCAGGTGTCACGGTGGATGTAGTCTTTCTGGACTTCAGCAAGGCCTTTGACACCGTCTCTCACCCCATCCTAATTAATAAACTAGGCGACTGTGGCATAGATGCCTACACAGTCAGATGGATTGCAGATTGGCTGAAGGGTCGCACTCAGAGGGTGGTGGTGGATGGATCATACTCGACTTGGGGGGAGGTGGGTAGTGGAGTCCCCCAGGGCTCGGTCCTGGGGCCTGCGCTGTTCAATTTCTTCATCAGCGATCTTGATGTTGGGGTGGAAAGCAACCTGTTTAAATTCGCTGATGACACCAAAATTTGCGGGGAGGTGAGCACGCTAGCAGGGAGAGAGAGATTGCAGAAGGATCTGGATAGGTTACAGGGGTGGGCAAACAGGAACAGGATGTGTTTCAGTACGGACAAGTGCAGGGTGCTGCACTTGGGTAGTAGGAACCAGCAGCACACTTATACGATGGGGAACTCCCTACTTGAGAGCACGGAGGCGGAAAGGGATCTTGGTGTCATTATTGACTCCAAGATGAACATGGGCCGACAATGCGAGGTCATGGTTGGCAGGGCTAACCGGACCTTGTCGTGCATCCACAGGTGCATCTCGAGTAGAGCCAGGGAGGTGATCCTCCCCCTCTGTGCGACGCTGGTCAGGCCGCAGCTGGAGTATTGTGTCCAGTTCTGTGCGCCCCATTTCAGGAGGGATGTGGACAACATGGAGAGGGTCCAGAGGAGGGCCACCCGCATGATCCGGGGACAACAGGGCAGACCCTACAGTGAGAGACTGCGGGACCTGAACCTATTCAGCCTCCACAAGAGAAGGCTGAGGGGGGACCTGGTGACCGTCTATAAACTCACTAGGGGGAACCAGAAGGGTTTGGGGGAGACGCTGTTTCCCCTAGCCCCCGCTGGCATAACAAGGAGTAATGGGCACAAGTTGATGGAGAGGAGGTACAGATTGGACATCCGAAAAAACTACTTCACAGTTAGGGCGGCTAGGAGCTGGAACCAACTTCCAAGGGAGGTGGTGCTGGCCCCTACCCTGGGGGTCTTTAAGAAGAGGCTGGATGCCTACCTGGCTGGACTCATTTGAGTCCCGTTTTTGTTTTTAGGGTTTTTTGTTGTTCTCCCGCCCTGGCGGGGGGTCGGGCTAGAAGATCTATTAGGTCCCTTCCGACCCTAAAACTATGAAACTATGAATTCAGATTAGCGTTGTTGACCACGATACGAGGACTGTCCTTAAGCTGTGCTAGGGTAAACGCCAATCTTCCAAGCCAGAAAACACCACGTAAGGTTAGGACCACTGGAAACATAATGAGAAATAGGAGCCCAACTGCTGTCACAGAATCATAGGAAATTAGGGTTGGAAGGGACCTCAGGAGGTTAGATCTAGTCCAGCCCCCTGCTTGTTCCATCCCCAACTATATGAGCCCAGCCAAGGCTTTATCTAGCTGGGTCTTAAACCTTTTCAAGGATGGAGACTCCACCACCTCTCCAGAAGCCTGTCCCAGTGCTTTACTACCCTCGTCATGTGAAAGTTCTTCCTAATATCCAACCTCAACTTCCCTTGCTGCAACCGGAGCCCACTGCTCCTTGTGCTGCCATCTGCCACCACTGAGAGCAGTCCAGCTCCATCCTCTTTGGACCCCCTGCAGGGAGGTGAAGGCTGCTATTTAATCCCCCTCGGTCTTCTCTTCTCCAAACCAAATAAGCCCAGATCCCTCAGCCTCGCCTCACCTGTATGAGCAGCCCCTGCATGCTTCTACTAACCAGCTCACCCAAGGCAGCTAAGATTTCACCCTTCTTATCCCCATTCTGGGTGAGTGGCTTGTGTCTAGGCTAGTAAACCTGCAACCTGTTGGAAAATTACTGTGGCAAGGGATGTTCTTCCAGCCTGACAAAGTTTGCCAATGAGACCTGAAAAGGATGGGGAGGAAGGAAAAGCAGACCCAAGGTAGGGGAGGAAATCAAGCGATGGGAACTAATTACAGTCCCAAACAGGGGTTTGTATAAGGTCAAGGGGAGACCAGTGAGCTTTGGCACTGGAAAAAAAAAGCAATGCAGAAGTGGTTGTAGATAACGTTTAAAGGATAACTATGTTGGGGATGGGAAGAAGAGAGATCGGACGCAGATGAGACGGTAAAATCCTTTCAGAAGCATTTAACAAAATACACAAGCTCACAAAAAGGCCCCCGGTTCTGGAGTAGAAAGCTGCAGGACTCAGGAGGGCTAAGGAAAACCACGCTTGGGAAGATGCATGCGACTGGTCCTGGAAGGTCAGGGGAGCTGAGAGACGCAGGGAATTAGGGATGCAAGATACCTGTTGAACAGTCCATCTGGGCCGAGTGCGAGTCGCTCTCAGTTTTCATTTTTTTCGCACTGCTCTCTGAGGTAGACGTGACTAGTAAGTTTGCAGTAGAAAAATAGGAAGGTTCCAGGCGGCTGCCGTCATGGGGACTTTGCTCCATACAGTCCATTTTCCTTTTCAGAGAAGATATCGTGAGGGAAGAAGGTGCAACCATTTCAGAGTCCTGCGCCCTGCCGAGAAGGTTGGTGCCCGGGATGCTGTGCTGCAGGAGGAAGTGGTCTATCCTTGCCTTCAGCGTCGGGTGAGGCAGAGGCTGGGAGTGCTGGCTAAAGGCGACTCCCGTGAAGGGGTCGCTGGGCACCCTCCCCCAGGAGGCCTCGCTCCGGTTGCATTTCTCCAAGGTGCTCTGGTCGATCACCTTGCCCGAGGGCAGCAGCATGGGGAAAGGCATTATCTCCAGAGTGATGGGGTCCAGGAACTCTTCAGGGATATCCTGAATAACATCAACCAGCTTCCGGAGAGTCTGCTGCTCGCTGTCAGCATTGCTAAAGGGCACACAGTCACTTTCCATTGGCGTCCACGGCTCCGGCTTTATGCCGCCAAAGTCCTGAGCGTGGCACCCAGAAGCCACTTGGAACACACCGTCGACCAACTCTGGGGGGCACGACTTGGCTGGCTGGCCCCAGACCTCCAGCCTCTTAATGCAAGGCAGGCCACCTCCCGCTACGTGGGTGATACAAATCTTTAAGTGCGATACGTTGCTGAGTGAGGCTGGGCCTTTATTCCACAGGTCTTGAGATGCAGATCCTGGGTAGGAGAAGCCAGCTTCCATCTGATGGAAGGGAGGCCTCAGCTTGAAGCCTCTGTGGCTGAAAGTCACTCTGCTTTGATTTTTGAGCACAGCCTTCCCCACCAGGGTGAACACGTCTTTATCTGACACCGGCTGACCGGCCAGAGGCGAGAACTGACCCTCGGGGCTGTTCCCAGAGGTCTTATTGGCTGAGGTAGACGTGTAAATATCGAGCCCAGTGAAGGTCTGGTAGCCTCCCGACGAGATATCTATGTTAATCCTGCAGATCTCTATGTTGAAGGGAAAGGAGATGGTGATGTGGACCGGAGGTTTGATAAAATATTCGCTGCGAAAGCCCCGGTTTCTCCTCGCCAGGTCTTCAGAGATGAGGTTCTCCACTTCATATCCGTCGGCAGAAATCTGCGTGACGAAAGAAAGCAGAAATTGGACTCGATCCGAACCCAGAGAAGAAGGCGGCGTAGCCAGCAGTCACCCAGTCTTTGCCAGACAAGATGTAAGTAAAGGATGAAATGACTGGCCAGGGAGGTTAAAACCCAAGCGTGGGTTCTGATCTCTGGCTCTCATGAATTGCCCAGTTGTTCCTGTATGGCTACTTGGGAATAGTGGGCTGTGCCTGTCCACCTGGGGAAGTGGGCTGTTAGAACAGTGCATTAAAGGGAACATGAGAAACCAATGGCAGGTACCTATTGCAGAGGATTCAGGATGTTGCCTCAGCAGAAATACAAAGAGGCCAACATCAGGACTAAGAGGAGAGGCAAAGCCAATAGATTTCACAGGATTTACTGGCCTTATGCTTGGAAGCACAGCCCAGCATGCATGGGAAGCATCCTCAACTATGAGACTGCATGCCTTTCAGCACAGTGACTCGCTGCATCTCCTTCTGAAATGCTCCCAAAGGGAAACTTAGGCGTCTGCCAAGGAATCTCACCATGGAGCCTGGTGAGCTGCAGTACCTGCAGTTTCTTACACCACATATGCATGGCAGCAGAAAAAGCCACTACCCCACCTCCCCCCCTTGCTCAAACCAAGTACCAAGTAGGTAGCTCTCTCCCATGGCTCCCAAGCCTAATCTAACCAAGACCAATCTGGCTGTTTCCACCCAATGCCAGAGCGCACACTCATTTCCTCAAGCCCAGGAAACACTGGGAGCTTATACACAAGCAGCAAGGCTGCTCCGACGCACTAATTAGTTAAAATGCCCCCACCACCATTTGTAAAGCACAGGGATGCTGATACACGAGATGCTTCAAGTGCTTTAATTGGAGTGGCTCTAAGAGCCACTGTAATTAAAGCACCCCCCCAACTCCCAGAGCACATGTATAAATGCCCGCTATGCCTTTTTACTTTACCTTGTTGCAGTGAATCCTTGGCTTGAACTGTGGGAGGCAGGCATTTATGACCATCTTGGCAGTTTGAGAGCGGTCAGCTTCCAAGTGTCCGAATCAGCTGGGAAACAAAAAAGTGAAAAAAGGTGGAAGTCAGTGAACAGTGAACGAGAGGAGGTACTTGTGTGAACAATCCTGAGTGACAGGAGATCTCCAGGTCTGCTAAAAAAAATGGAGTTCAGAGTCAAGTGAATAAGGCTGTTCACAACCCACAAGACCCAATAACCGGCTGTGGGGGCTGCGGGTGAAGACAGGAGATCAAGTTATAATTCACCTGAGATTTGATGGACATACAAGTATTTCACGTGAAAAAATTCAGCATCTGCAAGCAGGCTGGCAAGTTGATTTTCAGCCTTATGAAAGGGGAGCACAGCCAGGTAATTACAGGAAGAGTCTTGGGACCTCAATCCTGTCCTGCTATCCACTCAACCTAAAGGAGATTTTCCGGAGGCACGAATAGGAACCGCTGCCTCCCTCCTGCAGCCTGCTTCCTCATTCTGCCTTTGAAAATGTTTTCCCACCAAGTCACAACCTGTTCTGTGCCCATCTGCAGAGGGAGCATGGCCTAACGGTGAGGGCATCAGTCTTGGAATACACCGGGCTTCTACTCTGGTCTCTACCACAACTTACTGCACAACCTCGAGAAAAACCATGTCACCTCTCTGTGCCCATTGCCTCTTCCAGCCTGTGCCTGCCTTGCTTATTGAGACTCCACATCGTCCTGGAGGTGGAAACTTGTGTTTGGACAGCACTCAGTGCAATGGGGCCTCAATCTCAAACACAACCTCCTGGGCTTCTTGCCATGCACGCAGTTTGTGGTGTACAGGGGTACAGCAAGGACCAATGTTTTCAAAGCGCTTTGAGATCTTCAAATGAAAGAGACCCCTGAATGCAAAATTAATAATCATTATACAAGATCGCCTAAGTTACTTAAGGAAGCACTGGAGCTCAGGATGTCAGCAACATTTTGAACAGCGACTAGAGATAACTATTTTGAAAACAAGTCAGATGAGCATATCTCTCCATCCAGATAACTACATGCAGGCCAGTGAGACCTGATTCTTTAAAAAAAAATACTACTCTCTGCAAAGAAGAGACTTAACCTCTTAAACTGGCCTTGGTGCTTAGAGCTATCTCGTAAATCACAAAACCTGCTGCTTCCATCAAGAACAAAGAGCACTTGAAATGATCTTCAATTGAGGTATTAGTTCAGCCAAAAGGAAATTGGAAATCCTGGGGGCACTTTGTCCTGGACAATGGGGCCGGAAAACAAAAAGGCAGGTTAGCAGATGAAGTTTTACTGTACCTGTCTATGGAAGTCAGAAATGGTGATTCAAGGGCCCAATTCAACCGGGGGTTGAAGGAGGGGTGGATCTCAATCACTTCCTGAAAGAGCCGAGCTTGGAAGTTCGGCTACGCCGATGCCTGCCTGGTTGTTTCCCAAATCAGATGCTCTCATGAAAGCAATGCTCAATGTCGCACTGCATCCAGGTAAGCAAAAAGAGGCATTTTCAAGGTTGCGCAGCTGCAAACTGGACATCTGTTTAACACAACATTAAGTATGCAATTATCTACAGCTCACTGCTGGAGGTGCCGTCTCCAGACCGGAAACGGATGCCCCGATGGCCTGATTGTTAAAGGTCTCGCGAAACTTTTGGCCCGCAACCCCTCTCTGGCCACAACCAGTACCAGATAACTCGGAGGTAAATGCAATTCACACTGTAGCTGAGAATTAAGTTACCATCTGCTCATGAAGGAATTTTCTTTCTGTCCCTAGGCATGGGCTAGTTAGCTTATTTTCCAAATTCCTCTCTCTTCAATATACTCTCTTGATCCTAGCTCAGGAGGATATCCACCGCGAGAGCATGCCTAATTCTCCTAGGAAATCTACCACGCTCTTGGCCTCCACCAGATCTTGTGGAGACTAGCTGCAAAATCACGACAGGTGAAAGCATCCTGGTGAATTGGCAGACTTTCAAGATACCTGTTCTCTTGTTGGGGTGCGATGAGAAGGCAGAAAGTATATGCTTCATGTCTCTCATCTCTCTGTGGGAGGTTGCTCCCCTCTTATCCCCCCGCAAACTGCCTCCATCTGCGCTCATGCATATTTGACTGGAGAGAGGCTGTGGATAGGCCGAGACCCCTGCCCATCACGCTGATCAACAAGGTCTCATTGTTTTCTCATTCCCTTGTGCGTGTCTGTAACCATGGCATCCTCTTGCTCAAAGACTGTAAGCTCTTTGGGGCAGGGCTTGCCTTTCTGGTGTGCACCCAACAACAAGCTCCGGGTTCATGCCTAGATCCCCAGGTATTATGACAGCACAATAAAGACAGCAAGGTCCCTCCTCCACCTCTGAGCTCCCTGCTGTTTTGTGTACACCTGTTCAACACTTTGGGATCCCAACAGGGAGAGGAGAGGGGGGAGGACTCAAACTAGGTGCTACTGTACTGTAATCATCCCGCACCGTACTGTTAACAAGGTACCGTATAGTCATTAATAACCTCTGCTGGAAAGATTTCTGGTCAAGACACAAAAGTGTGCTTCAGGCTAGTTTTGCAGAAGAGGTGCAACATGAGGAATAACATGCTTCAGTGAAAGGCAATTTAGTCCTCTCTTGTGCTAGGACAGAGGTGCTTAACCCCTGGCCCGTGGGCCAGATCCAGCCCGTGGGGGTCCCTAGAGGTCTGGAAATTTGGTGGCAGGGGAGCAGTGGCAGAATTGTTGCTCCCTATGGGCATCATGGGGGCTGGATAATGTGACCCTGCACTCCCAACCATACCAATTTACAGCCAAATCCCAGCTGACATGCCAGCTCGTGCTCAGGGACCGGCTCTGT